ATAGTATTGCAATTGTATATGCATTATAAATTATCAGTATAATTTGGGAAAATGTACAAAGGTTTTAGTGATTATATATTTGAATTTTCACATGGTTATTTATAGTGAACTGTTTATACTTAAAATAAACCTTAGTTGTGAATTGTTAGTGATTTGTGTAGTTTCCTTACATTATTTCTGTTTTATATTGGCCGCGCTATGGATTTGTAAATTACTGAAAATTGGCCAAATATCAAAACTCTGTAATAGGGATTTTCTGTTCTGTGGAATCCACCATTTGTATTTAAATAAATTTATATTTGTAATATATTATTTTCATCCACTTAGAAATATCACATCAATTTCAAAAAATAGTTTGGCAACTATTTTACTACCAATATAGATTTTATATTAAATTATCTTTTCATTTACAATATACCTCATCGTCAGTAAATAAAATATTGTACTTATTTTTCTCATTAGACACAATTTTAATTTAATTTATTAATTTTCTGTTATGTCTATACTTTGCTTTTGTAGTTAAAGATGCTATATGTATTTATTTAAACATATTGTAAATATTATGTAGGTCTAACTAGTTGATATATCTTCATTGCGTCGTAATACTCTCAAAAGTTTATTATATGTAAATTATATCTGCAGTACAGTTAATGTTTTACGTACAAGAAAGCCAAACAAATTATTCATTTACGCCGTCAATTTAAATTTTACCGCTTGTACTCTGTAGTACTGTATTATAGAATATTTATAATTCATTTTAGTTTGTACCATAGATAAGGTTTGTACATTGAACTAAAACGACGCTGAATATAATGGAAAATACGTTGAGAATGTCAAGGTACATTTGATATTCCATTTTTGATTAAAAAATTCCACTTAATCGTTGGCAATACATTAATATGTTCAGACAATATTTATATATGGTATTCATTTTGTATTTTAAAGTAAATATTTGTTTTACAATTGAATGTTCTATATTCATCTATCTACGAGAATTATCTTATCTATGGCATTATCAATCGTATTTTCTCTTTAAAGGTTCTATTGTGTACTCTGTTGTTATCTGTGGTTGTGTATAACCAATAACCTCAATGCCTCTCTTATGGCATCACATTTATTTTTATAATTCCGAAAACTGTTGACTTCTCTTGTAAATAAATAGTCGGATATAATAGGCATTAATATAAGTAATAACAGTTTTATCCTTGTGTAGTTAATACTGTTAAAATGGGTTTGCGCTTATTTGAAATATTTTTTGATAAGCCACAGAAAGTCTTCTCACCTGGAGAAACTATTTCAGGACGGGTTAAAGTAATTTTAGACTCGCCTAAGAAAATTAGGGGTAAATTTTATGATTTTAAATGTGTGTATATCAATAAAATGTTTGCTTTTGTAGGTCTAGAATTTTGTTGCAAAGGGTTGGCTCATACCAGTTGGTCTGAATCTGAAACAGTTACTGGTGTAGATGGTAAAAGAGAACAACGAAATGTTGAGTATAGAGGAGATGAAGAGTATTTTAAGATTAAGTATTATTTGGTGGGAGGAAAAGGTACAGTAAAGTTAGATATAGTAAAAGATTACATTTTATTATTTGACTCTTAATCTTCAAGATCAAGAAATGGAATTGCCCCCTGGAGAACACATTTATCCATTTGTGTGTGTCTTGCCTCCAGTTTTGCCTTCTTCATTCGAAGGTTCTAAGGGTTACATTAGATACACTGTAAAAGCAACGTTGGATCGTCCATGGAAATTTGATCATACTACTGAAGTTGCTATCACTGTTATTTCAGAACTTGATTTAAATGCTACTCCTCATTTAAAAGTATATTACCATTTTTTATCTCAATAACATTTTTAACTAAAGTATATTTATAGGAAACAGTTACCATGACATTGGAGAAGTATTTCTGTTGTTTGTGGTGTAAGTCGGGACCTTTATTAGTAGAAGTATTTTTACCTTGTTCAGGGTATGTACCAGGACAAACCATAACCATGAACTGTAATGTGGATAATGCATCTAATGTTGACATTAATAAGATTACATTTACCTTGAAGCAGGTAATACTTTGATAAATAATTCCATTTTATTACCTTTAATATGATTTATAACTTTCAGAAAATTACTTTTCGATCAGTGTTTCCTAGTAGACATACACATGTCAACCAAACAGATATTGCCTTTAAAAGTTATAGCACTCCTATTCCAGCCAAGGAAAACAGAAATTTTGTTGAAGAAATTATAGTGCCTTCAATACCACCCTCAAACTTGACAAATTGTTCTCTGATTGATTTAGATTATGAATTGAAGGTAGCATATTTTTATTACAAATACCAGATGTACTACATGTTCTGCTTTCAGGTGGAAGCAAATGTCACTGGACTTCATTCAAACTTAACTTCAAAGATTCCAATAACTATTGGAACTATTCCACTTCAGCAAGGTTCAAATTATGTTGCATCAGCTCCTTCAGGTCATGTAGCAGTTGACATAAACAATCTTCCCAAAAACCTCCAAAATCCAACAATTGGATGGGTAGCTCCCACAGTGGGTGATGCCCCGGTTTATCCTCCTCCTTATCCCACTGCTCCTAATGATTTACCTCCACCGTATCCAGCAGATAATTCAGGTAATCAATCTAACAATTTTTCTACAGATCCCGGTTTTAAGCCTTTATACCCTGTCTATACATTTCCAAATGCACCAAACTCGTAAAAATGAAAAATCATGCTTTAACTTTTTAAACGTCGTTAGTAATCTGAAAAAGCATGCGGTTTTGTTACAGAAGTATTTTGCACTCTTTATATTAAGCACAATCTTTAGTGTATCGTCGAATAAGTATTTTTGTATATTGTTTTTACTACAGAATTTTTAAGTGCCTTGAACGTTCTAGTTTTAACGCAAATATGGGGGTCACTCGCGCGAATGATAGTTTAATTGCAGTTTCAAATTTCGTTGTAAATTATTTGCTCAAAACGATTTATTTTAAATTGTCGGTTATTAAATAATTTAAATCCACATATACTAGTCAACAATTTATTTGTAGTTAAAAAAACATGAACAAGATCATATGTCTTTATATTAATTGTTTGTCGAAAAATGAAGCTTGCCTCGAATATACTCGATATGGCCTAATTAGTATTTGCTGCTGCTGCAATAGGATTGTGATAAAAAATGTGTATGAGCATAATAATTATTTTATCTAATCTATATTTAATATTGCTTCAGTAGTATTACAGTGTAAATGAATGTCTTTGTTTTTATACCGTCTTTTAATAAATTTTATAAATGCAAAACGCAATTCATCGAAATAACTGTTTATTCAGATATAAAACAAATCTTTACATTATGCAATTTTCTAACAATTCTGTAAGATATGGATTACCCAATCTGTTTTTATAACGGGAGGCTTCCAATACATTACATCTGCAAAACACAACGGTATACAAATGAATAATTCATCAAATGTAAAATAATAGTTATAATTACCTAAAGAAAACAAATTTTGCTGCAATACTTTAACATCGTACGAGTTTAGATCATCCTGTTTTAGTAAAATGTCTGGCCAAATTTCTTTAATATCGTTTTTCATTTTATTTTGTAAATCAAAAAGTGAATTGTGCAACTTTCTAGCGTCACTTTCGAAATTTAATTCGAATAAAACCATACATACTTCACGAACAGTTGAACCATAATTACAGACAGCAGATATTTTATCATGCAATGTTTTCATAATAGCTATATCTTCATACTGTCCACCTTCACGTAAATCTTCTTTCTTTCTTTGTTCTTTACGTTTTGAACGACTAGAGCTAGCACTACTTCTTGATAAGTTTGACGCAGTTGACGATCTAAAATATTTTTATTTAGATATCTAGTTAATGAAAGTAAATTCTATTTTATACCCATGTTTTGTTGAAGTCGTACTTCCTGCAAGGGAGTACAAATCATCCTCAATTCCTCTGTTAGTTTGATAGTTTTCTTGATATTCAAAATCTTTGTTTTCGTGGTCATGTTTAAGCCTCTCAATTTTTTCCTTCCTAATTTTAAATAAACGTTCTTTGTATTTAGTATAGTCAACTTCCAGTTTTTCCAGTTCTGTATTCATGTTCGAAGTAAACTCTTTCAAAAGAGGTACAATAGTTGTTTCTGCAATAATTATTGTTAAAAGTGGATTGAAATTTTTACTCAAACTTTATACCTATAATATCCAATCTTGAATATTTTCTTGCCATCTCACATGCAAGGCTAAAATGATGTTTTTCACTAAGGAATTTAGTGGCAGTTTCATAATTTCGTAAATAAGTTTCATATAGATAACTTGCATCTATTGTTTGATTAACAGAAATTAAATTTTCTGCTATTTCTCGAATATTTCTCTTAAAGCTTATTTCATCAATATTACAATTTTTCATAATTTCTACAGACTTTTTCCAGTTTTTTGCTTCTTTATAACTTTGTAATGCTCTATCATAAAGGTTTGCTTTTTCTAAAATTAATCCTGCCTCGTCATACAATTTCTGTGAAATTAGTTTATCAGCGTATGACTCGACTACGTCTACGTAAATTGAAGATTTTTCAGAAATGTTATCGTAAAGTGTTTTTTGTAAATTATGTTTGTTCATATACTCTACAACTCTTTTACATCCATTATTTACAAATTCTTCGTATAAATAAAGTATTGCCATACGGTAATTTCCCAAATGATCATTAATAGTAAATTTCCTCTCCATTTCTGACATGCCTTTTAATTTTGTAATAAAATAAATGTACTCTTTCGGATCCATCTCTGAGTGTCTGGCTATTAAAATAGCTAATTCTAAATCATAAAGTGAAAGTGCTGCATGATAGGCATCATTTATATGGACATATTTTAACATAAATTTAATTGCGTCTTCAATGGATTTTTTAAACGTTTCGTTTTGTGTGTTATACCGGAAAAGTATTTGTACATGCTTTAAAGCTTCTTTTATGGGAGCAACTGACGAATTTCTCATAACAAGACAGGCATGCACTATGCTAGTTAAGGATTCCACATAATTATTTGTTACTAAAAAATCTATTATTGCTGAACAAACTGTTTCAACTTTCTTACTAAACTTTTCTAATTTGAAACCAGATGTAGTGTAGACTTTTGTAAGGACGTTATCTTCTTCTAATTCTGACAGGAATACGTTTAACACGCATGCTTCAATGAAACTCTGGATATTTTTCAAAAATCTTTCTGGGTTTAAATCAAATAACAAATTTGAGTTTAATTTTAAAAGCCGAACTGTATCCCAAGCTTCCTGCCAGTTATTATTTCTAAGGAAATTATCAATGTTATCTATATTTATAAGAAGACATGATATAATTTCAATATTGCCACGGGGAGCTTGTAAAATTAAATTTGAAGTAGAGCCCATTCCACAAATAAGAGACGATCCCATCTCAATTGTTCTTGTATATGGAATTGTTACTTTCTCTAGATAGAAATCATCCAAAGTATTTAAACGAATTCCTATCAATGTATCTTTTGTAGTAAGAAACAAATAATTCTGATGAATCGTGTATGACGTTATATTGTTCCACATCAGTTTAGAATTTAAATAAACGCTCCTATACTCGTCCATAATTAATTTAAAAGTGCTTTTATCGGTTTTTATCAGTTCAGAATAAACTTCTTTTGCATTTTCTTGCAATTCAATATCGTCAGTAATTTCTGTTTGAAGATCAGCTATCTCCGATAATTTTTTCGTGTTGAAGTTTAAAAAGTTGATCTCAAACTTTTTAACGTCGTCTGTAGTATCGGTAGTAATTCCATTAAATATACATTTATATGTATTGTAAGGAGTAGTAAAATTAAAAAAGTTAAGAAACGATTTATCCGAAATTAAGCTAATTTTACCTATAAGATTTGAATTTTCTTGTATGTCTTCGTACTTATATAAGTACAAGTTGTGAATTCCAAAAATTAATAAATACCTGCTACTTTCATAAAATATTATACAATTAATCGGTTCTTGTGAGTTTATGTCTTTGTATGAAGAACAGTCAGATTGTGTGTATCGACACAAATGTAGAATATGTCCATCGACAACACCCGTAATTGTGCAGTTACTATCATTTACATACATTTTATTAACAATCAGCTTAAACTGGTACTTTAAATAATAATTGGGGACAGTCACAGATAATGCATATTTAAATGATGTGCCTTCATACCATTGAAAATTAATTATATTTGAAGTGTTGAATGCTAAAGTTTGTTTCAAATAGAGATGATTGTTTTTTATCATATAAATTCGTATTTGTGAAGAATTTTCTTCTGGTATGTCTAGATAAGCAGAGAGTAAATTTCCTGTTTGGTCCCACTTTAAATCTTTTACATAAAACTGTAAATGAGTTATTTATATTCTTGTGAATGCAACATAAGCTTAGCAAAAGACTATCTTACCGAATGTTCGAGTTGAAACTCATGCCTCACTGTCGCATTTTTCTCAAATAATACAAGAAAACTATTATTTTTAATAACTGATATAGATGCTATTCCAGCACCAAATGGTCGCCAAGCTAAAATTGGTTGTAAACCATTCACACCACTGTTTTCAAACATTGGTTGGCATTCACTATTGAAGAATTTAATGATTCGTCTATCATTATTCCAAAAATTCACACAAAACATTTCTCCATCTGATCTCCAAGTAATAACAGGCCTTTTATTGTCATGTTTGGAAACAGGCTCTATCTCCTTTTCGTCATTTATTAAAACTAAGAAAAAGCTTATATAGTATTTGCAGAGTAATTATAATTGTAACTTCTTACCATTTGAAATTAATGTTAGTACATCATCTGTCCTTTTCTTTAGTGGGCCTCTAAATTGGGTTTTAGTAGAGCCCCAACCAATTGTAATTGTTTCTGGACATACAAAACTTAAATTTGAAGATTCTTTTATGTCAAAAGTCTTTTCCTTTAAATTAAACGTAAACAAGCCAATATTACCATCTTCAAACACAATAGTTAAGATGTCTTGAGAAGGATTCCATGCTGTTGAAGTTATTACTGTCTCAAAATCAAACATAGAAATTTCATCATTATTTGTATTTATAAATACTACTGATTGAGAGGTACTAAAATAAACTGCTTCATCAATTGTTAAATGATGAAAAGATGTGACTATATTAGTGCATTTTCCAAGTTTAATATTAGTTTTCTCCAGTTTCATGTAGCACCACACTTGCTCATCTTTTAAAACATATAGTTTGTCAGCAATATTAATAACATCTAATGCATTGTCAAAGCCTATATATTCTTTGTTGACTTTATATAAACTAATATTCTTCATATTTAGTTTATTATAAACAATTATAAAACAATCTGACGCTTCTTATGTGAGTTGATTATTTTTTCTCTTATTTGTTGCCAAAAAAACAAACTATTATACCACAATTTGCAATTACATAAGTATATGTATGTATAATAAAAGTAAATGTTATTTCCAGCGAGATACAAATAGATTTTGTAAATTTTAGATTAAATTTAAATGCCGCATATGTTTTTGTAAACGTTCCATGTAGCTTGAAAATCGAACATGGATAGTATTGCAATTGTATATGCATTATAAATTATCAGTATAATTTGGGAAAATGTACAAAGGTTTTAGTGATTATATATTTGAATTTTCACATGGTTATTTATAGTGAACTGTTTATACTTAAAATAAACCTTAGTTGTGAATTGTTAGTGATTTGTGTAGTTTCCTTACATTATTTCTGTTTTATATTGGCCGCGCTATGGATTTGTAAATTACTGAAAATTGGCCAAATATCAAAACTCTGTAATAGGGATTTTCTGTTCTGTGGAATCCACCATCAGTATAATTTGGGAAAATGTACAAAGGTTTTAGTGATTATATATTTGAATTTTCACATGGTTATTTATAGTTATACTTAAAATAAACCTTAGTTGTGAATTGTTAGTGATTTGTGTAGTTTCCTTACATTATTTCTGTTTTATATTGGCCGCGCTATGGATTTGTAAATTACTGAAAATTGGCCAAATATCAAAACTCTGTAATAGGGATTTTCTGTTCTGTGGAATCCACCATTTGTATTTAAATAAATTTATATTTGTAATATATTATTTTCATCCACTTAGAAATATCACATCAATTTCAAAAAATAGTTTGGCAACTATTTTACTACCAATATAGATTTTATATTAAATTATCTTTTCATTTACAATATACCTCATCGTCAGTAAATAAAATATTGTACTTATTTTTCTCATTAGACACAATTTTAATTTAATTTATTAATTT